AAGTACCGATCTCACTATACAATAGAATGTAAGGTTTCTACAGTAGGACTCACTATAATGATTTGAGCAAGCATCCCCCGTAACGCCACCTAGGATACTTTGGGACAATCAGAAGCGAAGCCACTCATGATTAATACAAGGACCCTATTATGACAATAAGCAGAACCCCCAAAACCCTATCCTAATTATGAAGGCCCCTATATCATATACCCCTATTATAGATCCCTTACAGTACCCCTTTAAACGAGCCCCTCAATAGGAACCTTATTAAAGTTATGAAGGCCGCTATCTTATAGTACCCTTATAAGCCCCCTTTTCGTAGCCCCTATAGACCCCTTTAAAGGAACCCTATTCTCATTATGAAAAAGACCTTATGCTGTTATTAGTACCCTTATAGTAGCCCTAGTAGTACCCCTTTAAAAGGAGCCCTTAAATTGAACCCTACTCTAATTATGAAAAAGCCCCTATCTTATAGAACCCTCCCCTTTAAAAGGAGCCCTACTCTCATTATGACAAAGCCCCTACATTCGCTAGCTCTGGCCCTCCCCCAAAATCCCGTGACATGTAGCAGCCTCAAGGCTGGGCATTGGTCTCCAAAATTTGAGGAGTTTAAGGGTTAGGGTTTAGGGTTTAGGGTAGGGTTTGGGGTTTAGGGTTTACCTTCTCTACTACAAGTACTAGGTAACTGGCCTCCTAAGCCCAACCCTAAGGCTCAAAATAGCCCCAAAAGCCTTATGTAGTATGGTCTTTGGGCCCAAAAGCCTTAAAATGTGAGTCCTTAGAGCCTAAGGGCAACGGTCCTCGTAAGGTTTCGAGATCTAGGTCTACATAGGTGCATCTCGAAGCTTGAAGTCTTTTGAGGCTCAAAGTAAGGTAAAAGCCAGAAAGTTGGAATATGATTATCCTAACCCTTCTATGGTAAATTATAGGGTATCCTACCATGAAACCATATTCCAACTTTCTGGAGTTCCCTGTAAGATGTTATTTTAAGGTTTGACACCTACAGCCAGGAACATGCCATGTTGTCCAGTTCAGGGCTGTGTAGGATCTTCCAAGAGGATAAAGCGTAGTCAAAGGTTCCTAGGTGCTGTTATGAGGGATACTTCTCGAAATCATAATAATAAGTACTGGTATGGGGGGATTTTTCCCCAAGTCAAATAATAGCAATTCCGAATACAGAAACCCTATACATTTTACTGTATAAGTACTTTGCACCCTGTGGCCTAGTCTCGCTTGTGAAAGCAGGCCTCGACTGGAACCCTGCTTGAAGGAGCATGGGACTTAGTAAGTAAGGTTGTAAGTACCTCAATTTATTAATTGGGGTTATAAGTAGTTATAAGTATAGTTACCTTAATTATAACCGTAGTTACTAAGTCCCATGATCCTTTAAGTGCATCCTTGCATCTCCTCGGAGTCACCACTGTAGCTCGTAATTGTGCTTGCCCTGTTTATAGACTCCTAACCAAAACAACAGGTTCTCCATACTAACTAAATAAAGAAGTTGCTACCTTGTTTCAACCCACATCAGCTGCCCTTCATCTTCCGGGTGTGGTGAGTGTTATTGAGCTGGCTGCTTTGGAGCACTGGTCTATGTAAGTTTATGTCACGCATTTGTTGGGATACGAGTACTGAAAGCCCTGCATCACACGCAAGTGCGAAATTCAACCACGCAAGTATCTGGTCAATGCGAAGATTTGTAGAGACTGTGGGGGAGCTCTCTTGGCCTCTACCTTATTATGCAGCTTGCTATTTCCGGTCAGAGAATGTTCATCACCACCGTCATCACCATCATCGTGACCATCATCACCGACATCACCATCACCACCGTCATCGCCATCGTCGTGACCATCATCGCCATCATCACCATCATCCTCATGATTTTCGTCATCATCATCATTCTCATGATCGTCATCACCATCATCACTTTCAGTAGTATCATCGCCCTCACCATCATCCTCATCGTCATCATCATCCTAAGTACATCACTTGGAGTTCCTAGCAGTTGCTTGTTTCAAAGTCGGGCGGCGCAGTGTATCCTTTCAGCTTTCCCCGTTTCATCCCACGTTTCACGTCCATAATGTGGACCGACAGCATGCACGTACTTGAAGGTCAAAAAGTGCGCCGGCTTTTGCAGATAACCGATCTAGATTCCTGCGCTTTGTGTTGCTAGAGCTTCTTCCAGTTACTAGTTTGCTTGTGTGACAAAATTAGCTGTTACAATTCTCGCTGCTGCTGTGCCGAGTGTGTCCGGGTTCTTTTGTCGCTGTGACTCTGTTGCCCCGAGCCCTATTTCCTGTTCATACTCTGGTGCTGTTGTTGCTTCGTTGCTTGGCACATCTATACTATTTGCCTAGACTAGCCTAAACAGGAAGCGACCCTAAGCAGCATGCATATATCTCTTTCCTGCGGAAGGAGGAAAAGTTTGACCTACTCCTTGTCTCGTCGACCACAGGCCGCTGCTCCCCCACAGAATCCCAGGAACTCCAACATCCCTTAGTTTAGGAATTTTCCTTAAATCATATTACGGATCCTACCATGATTTAAGGCATAAGGGATATTGGAGTTTCTAGAATCCTAACACCGAGCTTCAGCCGGATACTTTCCGGAACATGAATAGTCGTATGAAGCTAAAACGGGGTTTAAACTACTCCGCTGGCCAGGCCACGTAAATCGCACTTTTCGGTACTCCGCTGCCGATGTTGGGAGACTATTTGCGGTAACTCCAGATGCTTTCTCGATTACAAAACGCCTTAGGGTTTAGGGTAAACTGCTTTCAGAAAATGCCAAGTAACAGTCAGCCTTTCAAGGCAAGGTACGAGCAGCCACAAGCACCGCAACAACCTCGCCCCTACCGAGAATTTGCTAACCTCAACCTATGGGTTTAGGGTTGGTTTAGGGTTTAGGGTTCCCCCCCGATCCCCTCACCTTCAAGAATCGTAAGGGTCCAAGTATTCAATATGCTAGGACTTGTGGGCCTGTTTAGGTACCAGGAACCATAAATAATGACTACTTGGACCCTTACTTGGAGGTTCATGGGTAGTTATAAAAGTGGAGCTACATGTCCCGTAATATGGGTTATAATTAAAGCTACCCTACTTATAACTCCACTTATAACTACCCATGAACCTCCAAGTAGGGGAAGGGGAGAGGTGAGCACCACCGCATCTCAGCCTCTTAGAGGGGTTTAGACTCTTTACATGTAATAACGGGGGCCTAAGTCATTAACAAAAGTATTGTAGGGGTTCCTAATTGTAGTTATGGTATACTGGGACCCAATTTTATTCTAATTATTAAGGCCCTTACAGTGCATTTACCCGACAGGTTTAGGGCCTTGGGCTCTTAGGGAATATGGGGTTCGCGCATTTCGGGTGTCGAGTTCAGGGTTTAGGGCAAAATTCCTGCTAACACCAAACCGTAAACCCGTAAAATAACCTAAACCCCGAACCACAAGGGATTTTTCGCTGGCCGCGGCTCAAAAAGCATTAGGGCACCCCCACTTTGCTTCGGCTTGCTCCCAGTGGCACTCCAAAGAACGGTCGGACGCTTCATTCGGGGAGCAACATGTGCCCTGGCAGTCGGAAGGGGTCCTAGGGTGGATGATAGAAACCCTAGGGTTCCTTTACAAAGGGGTCTATAAGGATACCTTTAAGGGGGTCCCTTACGGGATCTATATGGTTTTAGGGTTTAGGGTTTAGGGCCTAGGGTTCATGATATAAATTACCTTGAGGACCCTAAGCTATGGGAATTATGGTATATTCCTTATTATGGGTCATGCAGGATATATATCATCAACCCTACTGAAGTTCCATCCGTGTTTGGGGGTTTACAGGTCTGGGGCTAGAGTTTCAAGGCACGCTTAGCAGGCAGATCGGCCAAGGTACCTTCTGCAAGGACTTGCCCTTAAAAGGGTTAAGGATTAAGGCGAAGTGCCCCGTCTGAGTGAGTTTTCTTAGGCAGGAAGCCCTGGTCGATAGATTCAGGCACCAGGTGCGACTGGCTCATAGGTCTTTTTAAGAAACCTAAACCTATGTAAAAGTTTAACTAAAGCCTAGGGGTACTATTTTTAGGTCCAGGTTTACCGCGCAAGGGTTCATCGCACCTTTCTCAGGTGGGAGAAGCCCCAACCCCAAACTTGAAACCTCTTGCCAGAAAAGCTTTGGTGATGCAGAATCACAAGAAAGCCGTCTATCTCCGATCGGTATCATATAAAAAACCCAAAGCCCCCATTCAGTACGCAAATCCAGCCTTGAAAGTCCTTGAAGTGAGAGCCACAAGCCCCAAGACCCAACACACCCTGAATCCCGAGACCCCTGAACCTACCTTATTGTCATTTCCCTGTGTAACTAAACGGCTTCCTAGGTACATGTATCCTTAGGGCAGGACAGCCACAAAGCTTCAGCTCTGCATATCTTTACTACTGTGACTTGCAACAGCCCCCCTCGAAAGAGAGCCTGAAAGAGCGCCGTAGAAGGATCGCCCTAAACCCTAACCTCCTGACCAGAACCCGAAGCGCCCACAATTTCTCAACGCCTAAACCCCAAACTCGTGAACCATGAAACCTGAATCTCGGATGCCTTCAAATGTGGGATGAAGGTGAGTAGGATTAAGGAATACCTGTATACCCAAACCCTACAAAATAGTAGGTTATGACCCCTTAATTAATTTTAATAACCCTGAAAACAGTAGGTTGCTTGGATCCCCGGTAAGGACTTGTTTTTGGGACCTTCATCCCACATTTGGAGCCTTTTGAAAACCTGGGCCTTGAACCTTAGATTCCTCAACCCAAGCCCATGAACTCCTAAACCCTAAACCCTAAACCCCAAAAGCCCTACAACCCTGAAAGGAGGCTCCATGTATACTACCATTATGGAAGTAGGTTCCAAGACACCATCCTCATTATGGCTTTGGGGGACTAGTTCCAAAATAGTGGTATATATGGAGCCGCTGAACCCCCTATAAAGCCTGGAATTTAGCCCTAAAAAAACGCAATCACCCACAAGGATCGGCTTCAAGTGGGGCGTGGACCGCGATGCCCTGGGCATGGCCGAGCCTTCCACAGCAGAGTCGTTCTAGTCTAAGCGTCACTAAAGGGGTACTGTAGGGTTTACATAGGGCTTCAGGGTTTAGGCTTTAGGTTTGGGGTTTAGGCTTTAGGTTTGGGGTTGAGGGTTTAGGGCTTCAGGGTTTAGGTTTGGGGGTATGGTTCAGGGTTCAGGAGTTTGGGAAATCATAAGGGTCTGATCTGGGCTCATGGCATGAGTTTAGGTGTTGTTTGTGGTATGGCTTCGGGTGGTTAGGGTTTTAGGAAGTAAGGGAAGGACTTGGGTTAAGGGATGGTTCAGGGTCATGTAGTTTGTTTAGAAGATTAAGTTTGGGGGTATGCTTCAGGCATTTTCGGGCTCGGAGTTACGCGACATTCTATTGAAAACGTGACACTTGCAAAGATGCTTTTCTTGCGGAGGTCTGAAGACCCCCGGTGCCTGGGCTAGAGCTCGTAGCCCGTTATCAAGATCGTTTAACACCCCAGAAACGCCTCCTGAAACCCAGTTTTTCGAATTAGACCCAAAAATATATACCTTAACCTACCAAACCCTACTTGTTTGTAGGTTCTTATTCTGAACCCTACTTTGGATTTTACTGGGACCCTACAAAAAAAAAAACAGGTTTTGGTAGGTTAAGGTAAGGTGCTTCCGAATCAACAGAAAATCTTGAAACGGTTTCTCGATGTCTACTGAGAAAGGCCGCCGGCAACCCCAGCCTAGTTTGTCGGGCACCCGCGCACGTATGGTCTACAAATAAGTCTGGAAGCCTATACGGCCCAAAAGCCTGATAGCAATGCCAAATTTATAGCAATGCAACAACTATGTCCCAAGCCCTAATGCCCTAAACCCAAAGGTACCCTTATAGGAACTCTTACAGTTGGCCCTAAAGCCCCTGTCCACTGCGCATGTGCCAAGGAAACAGGACAAGCCCGCCTCAAAGTGGTGGACATGAAGGCTGCGAAGCCCTTCCCAAAAGGATCCAGTAATATAGGGACTAAATAATTACCAATACCATTTTGGGGGTTCCTTATTAGAACTATAGTATAATGGCCCCAAGACCCTCTTCTAATTATTAAGGCCCCTGCATCACTCAAACAGTAGGTTCTTGTCTACAGTGTTTAGCTTGTCGGGTGTGGGGTTGAAGGTATGCCCTAAACCCAAACAGGTTCAACTAGGTAGGGCTTTGGGACATTTTATATTTTCCCTTATTGGGAATAAGAGGATCCTATTTAACATTTTTCAGAGGCTTTAAAAGCCCCACCTAGTCAAGTTTCCATGAACCCGGAAACCTTTTTGCTTGGAACGTATAATACAGTGGCCTGAGTCATTGTTGATACCTGTTCTGTATTCTTTAGGTAAGTAGCAATGTACTGCAACTCCCCGAACGCTGTTCCAATCATTAAGGCCCCCATCTTGATGTCGAGAGGAAAAGGAACCCTAACATGCGAGGGAACGCAATAGACCCTGCAAAGCCCAAACGCCGCATGCCTCGGATTTCTGGGTTGAGGGAGGCTTTCAGTTCTGCAGAACTTTAGGCTAATAAAGAGCTCAGGGCCTATAGGGTTTAAGTATTACAGAGGTTTAGGCCTTAACGTCGCCTGAATATCTACAAGTAGTAACGTATCCTTTTCCTTTCTGTGATTGCACTACAGTATCCCGTATCTAATGATCATAAGGCCTTGTGTCCGGTTTGAGGCCCTAATTTGGGGATTTAGGGTTTTAGGGTTTAGGGGTTTAGGGTTTTAGGGTTTAGGGGTTTAGGGTTTTAGGGTTTAGGGTTTTAGGGTTTTAGGGTTTAGGGGTTTAGGGTTTAGGGTTTGGGGTTTAGGGTGGGGTTTAGGGTTTTTGGTTTAGGGTGGGGCTGTGATGAGTTCTGCCATTATTCGGCATGCACGGTTTGTTTTGCTCTTCGCCACTTGTTAGGGCCTACCTGAAACTCGCAGGCCTACTTTGCGAAGCAGGAGTATCTGACCTGTTCTGTGAGTGAGGGCTTAGGGTTTACCTGTATCCCCAAACCCTACAAAATTGAAAAGACTTCGGTATAACAATGAAAACAATAGGTTTTGGGATTCCAGGTAGGGTTTAGAGTTCGACAGGGACCTTAACAAACAACGAGTCGGCTATGGTAGCAGGGTAGTATTAAGTCGAAACGAAAGCTTTCTGCTGCCATCGGTTTGTGCACATCAGGTGTTGAGGAGTTTCTCATAGTCCCCATTCCCCATTGTAGTTCTTGAAGCAGCTCTTTGGCTAGGAGCCTTTCGTCGCAAGATAAAGTCAAGTAGCCAATAAGAGGAGCTACATCGAGGAATGTGGGTAGGGTATTAAAAGCTTACCCACAGGCTCTAAGGACTCACATGTTGAGGCTGTCGGTTTCGGGCGGAAAGACATTTCTGTATAAGCCTTCCTGGGCGACTTTAACTTTTGAGCCTGAGGGTGAGGAACGGTTGAGGAGATAGGGTTCGACGTCTTGCAATTAGAGGTAGGATCTAGATCGGGTTCCACGTGCAGTCCATTTATCTTTCTAGCTGCTTCCAAGCCCTACAACATAGAATAGGTCAGTGGGCCAGGGATGCATGACGCCGGTTAAACGGGGTCGAACCCCTAAATTTATTATGAACCCTTTCGTATAGCGGATGTATGACCACGAAAGCAGTACATTGCCGAGAAGCACTTGCGAACAAATAGCGGCAGCTTGTGGAGTAGTGGAGGGTAATCAACTCCAAACCCATTGCTCCACATACGACGTACTTACTGGGGTGGCTAATCCGTCGGGCAAGTACATAACGTTATTAGGTGTGTAAACTCCTAAGCCCTCAACCCTGAAGCCCTAAACCCCTAACCGCTAAACCCCGAGCCAGAATCTCGATCGCGAAAACTTCCTAAAGCCGCCTTAAAGGAACCTAAACCCTTATAGTAATCCTTCTAGCAACCCTTAAAGGAACCCTTGTCGTAGCCCTTGAGGGAGTCCCTAAAGCACGCCGGAATCTGGAGGCCGTTGCCGCCGAGTGCATCGCAATGACGCCCGTTCCTCTGAATTCTGCGATGCACAAAAAATAACCCTGCACCCTGACCCCATATAGTAGCCCTCATACGCTCTCGGCCGAGGCTCTTCGTCGTCATCGGCTGCGGCGCGGCGTGCGCGAACGGCGCCGGCGACAGTCCGAGCCGGCTGCTTCGGCTTGGGCCGTTAACTTGTTTAGGGTTTATTTGCGGTTTAGGAGTTAATGAGGGTGTAGGTGTTTAGGGTTAAGGGTTTATGTTTCAGCGTTTAGGGTTTTGGGTTGATGTTCGGAGTTCTGGGTTTATAGGGTTTAGGATTCAATCATAGAGGGCATCTTTAGTGTATTATGTGCTGTTAGGCGCTGGTAAACAGTGATGTTGCTAAGGTTTTCTTCGGCTAACCTTTCCCCGAATGACCTACCTGTTTAAGGCTTTATATAAGGAAACCATAATCAACACCCTAATGACCTACCTTTGTAAGGACTTGTATAAGGAAACCATAATCAGGAGCCCTACAAAGGTAGGTTATGCAGGGTTAGGGAAGGGTTTATGATCGGGCCGGGCTTCGGGGTACATGGGGTTTAGGATTAGGGATTATGGATTAGAGTTTAGGGTTTAGGGGATTTAAATTAAATCATTTAATGCGGCTTCTTTATTCAGAGCTTTTCCCTGTGGTAGATGTTGGATAAGAGTCATGTTGCTAAGTTAGCTTCTTTTGGCAAGCCACCGATTAGCATGTGCATCCTGAAGTCCATCGTTCTGGCTGGTAACTGCCACTATATTCAACGAGCATGATCTGCTACATGTGTTCTATGGCTTTTTGTCTTTTGAATGCTTTTTGTCTTTTGAATGCTTATGGCTTTTGGGGTCTTACGGTTCAGCGTTTTGGGATTTAGGGTTAAGGGTTTCGGGTGGGAACTCTGTAAATGGGCGGACGTCACTAAGGAGCTTGGGGAGATTACGTGCTAATCAACCCACCCGGATTCTGGGCAGATCACTAACCCGAAGACTCCAAATAATGGCCCTGCTGGGGTTTGCCATTTAGGGCTCATACTTACTTGGGTTGGGGGATTTAAGGTCTAGTTCGGGTTGGGGCTTGTTCCCAGGGACTCCAAACAGCCCATGCAGAGACTCCAAATAGCCCAAAGCAGGCACCTTTTCTGGACGTTAGTCGTACCCCCTGAAATACCCAGACCTTCCAAAACCCCTTAATTAAGGAATATACCTTAAAATATAGTAGGATCCTTAATATGATTTAAGGTATATTCCTTAATTAAGGGATTTTGGAAGGTCTGGGTAGGTACTTTAGTTGTAAACTCGGAGTCTGAGGGCAAAGTTCTACCGACGGCCGACCCTCGCCGACCAGCCAGATGAAAGACCCATGCGGCATCAGCTCTCAAACAATGTATAGACTGTATTCATACAGACCTATAGAAAACCGTGCGCGATTCGTAGGCGAGGCAAGCCTTATAAGATCGTATCAAGATCAACAAGCAACGCACTGCACAATTAACATCAGGGCTATACTAGAAGAACCTTTCGAAGCCTGTAAAGCCTCTTGGACTCTAAACCCTAAACCGTAAAACCCCAAATTACACTTTTAAAAAGAAAAAACCCAAAAACTACGCTCAAGTCTGTAAAACAGTACCCGCTAGAGAAACCTCTTAAAACCCTACTAGGACCTAGAGTAGGCCCTTATTCCCTTTTTAAGGGTTCAGGTTCCTTTACAAGCCCCTTTAAACCAAAAAAGGCACCCTTTTTATTCCTAGGGTACTCTTGGGTCTAGCCTATAAGGCGCCGCTAAAGGAGCCCCAAACCTCCCAAGACACACAAAAAAAAACACCTCTGAAGGAACCCCAAACCTTCTAAAACCCCATAAAGCACCTTTACAGGAGCCCCCAACAGGAACCGGAACCCCACCATTCTTCTAAAACCCTATAAAGCACCTTTACAGTAACACCCCAAACCTTCTAAAACCCCATAAAGCGCCTGTTATAGGAGCCCCCAACAGGAACCGGAAACCCACCATTCTTCTAAAACTTTCAGTAGCACCCAAAACTAGGTTGGATTTTGGGACATTTTTTTTTCCTTATTTGGGTTTATAAGGGACCCTATATATACATATTTTCAGGGTGTTTAAAGGCCAACCCAAAAGACCAAACTCCACCATTCTTTTCAAACCTTCTAAAGCACCTTTACAGTAACACCCAAAACTAGGTTGGATTTTGGGACATTTTTTATGTTCCTTATTTGGGTTTATAAGGGACCCTATATATACATATTTTTCAGGGTGTTTACCTTAAGGCTCCTGGACCCTTGTAGCGAGATCCCGGACCCTAGCCCCCAAAGCCGAAACCCTCCCCCAGAGAGCCCGAGACCCTCTTAGGAGCCTTAGGGTAAAGGCCAGCCCAAAAGACCAAAGCCCAGGTTGATCGTGGCTTTGGCCTTTGGCATGGGACTCTTCGCTGCGACATCGAAACCATAAAGTAAAAGCCAGAAAGTTGGAATATGGATTCATGGTAGGATCCCCTCTAATTTACCATAATTTACCTTAAAGGGGTTACGATATTGATATTCCAACTTTCTGGCTTCTACTGTAAGCCCTGGTTCCTACGGTTGATGATGTAAATCCTGGGGTCTATAAGGGTACCTTGAAGGGGTTCCTTTAAGGGAGCTATGGGGTTTCAGGGTTTAGGGGGTTGATGATATACATCCTGCATTACCTTAATGACCCTAGACTGTGGGAATTATGGTATATTCCTTCTTACGGGTAATGCAGGATTTATATCATCAACAGTACGGCCCAACAACCCCTTTGACCCTGACTTCCTGAACCGATAAAGCCGAAAACCACATAGCTCTAAATTCCCGAAACCTAAGCCCTAAATGCTACACCGCTAAAACCAAAGCCCTCAAAACTTGAACTTGTGCCATCCGGCTCCAGGAATTGGATATTTGTCATTCGGGGTTTGACACTTACAGGAAATATTGTGAAGCAAAGTTTATATTTTCTCTCCCTGAACCCTAAAGCCTGAACTCTAAACCCTCAATCCCGTAAACCCTAGACCCTAAAGGTTACTTCAAAGCACGCTGAAGGAATCCTGGTCCTCGCATACTCTGTCGGACATCACTCCGGGGGGTGCCTCAGCTGCTTTGTTAGGTTCCTGAGTATTACGGTGTTGCCCTTTTTAGTTGGAGGTCTCGGTACTAAAACCGATTATTCGGAAAAAGGCTACCCTTATCACAAAGGTGTTACTGAGGAGCCTAGTTTGTTTATAGGTCGTTGTCGTTTGTGTTGTTCAGGGTTTAAGGGTTTGTGATACATGTCGTCCTTTTAGGGGGATTTTGTTACCCAGAGGGTCCATCTGTATTACCATACTGGAATTAAGTCTCCAAAGCCATAATGAGGATTATTTTGCGGGACCTATATAACTCCATATGTAATAGCAGTTTTCATTGGACCTCAGGGAGATGTATACCTTGAAAGTTGGCGGCGTTGGTTATACAAACAGATACATCTGCAGACACTCTACACCAAGGTTGATGATATACATCCTGCAGTACCTAATTTACCCTAGACTTATGGGAATTAGGGTATATTCCTTTTCATGGATGATGCAGGATTTATATCACCAACCGTTAGGTTGTTATGCTATCCCGGTCTGTCGGGATTCTGTAGCGCCTCGTTCCCCAAACCCTAAACCCCAAACCCACATAAACCCTGAAACCCTAAACCAGTACACCCTACACTCTGAACCCTACACCCCTAAATCCCGAGGCTTTGCCTTCTGAGGCTTTGGGACTCGACCTAAATCCGGAGCTGTACGTAAGCCATAACTAAGGATCCAAAAACGTATTGTTCCTAATTGCAGCTTATGATTAAGGGGTCGCAATCTACTATCTAAGTCTCAACCCTGAACCCGGTTGACGGGTTTCTGATGTTGAGGTCTAGAGGTGTGGAGGGTTTCGGTTGTTTGTGGTTTACGGTATCGGGCTTTAAGTATTTGCGGGTTTAGCCTTCCTAAGGGGTCTAAGGTACCTATACAGTGGGTTGAAGGGTTTCTCCTTCTCCACAACACTACCTAGGACCCTTTGGCTCTAGGAGGCCCAGACTCAGTGTTTGTTGATCACTTCCGGTGTCTTCCAAAAGAGTCGCCCACAGTGGCAGTGTGTTGCTAGTTTCCAGAGTACAATTTAGTGGCTTTCTCCTTAGAGTTCCATCTTGTACTTCCAGTTTAAGTCTTGATCTTCCATAACTATTCACGGTAAACCTAAACCCTAAACCCCTAGGTGAAATGGAACGAATCCTGAACCCTAGAACTAAATTCTTGAACTCCTGGACTCGAACCCTCAACCCGAAAGATTGGCAAAGCCCTCGGTAAACACTACCTAGAGTAACCAGTGTACCTTACAACAGACATGGCCTTATTCGATAGGTACATCGCCCTTTTAAGGTACATCGGTTGCCCGAGGACGCCTTAAACTTAAACTGCAATTAAACCCTAAAGTGCCATTTCACCCATTACAAAACAACGAGTCCTTAGGCAAATCAACTGCGCGGTGACCCTCTCGCTCGTTCTCGGTGGCCAGGCCTTTCTCACGGGTACTGGGAAAACACACAACCAAGGAATCCAAACCTGCTTAGGTTTGGGGTCTGGGGTGTTTAGTAAGGGGTGGAGGCTACGTCAGGGCGGTGTAGGGACTGGGGTACAGGATCTAGTGCAGAGCCCTCCACCTGGTGCTGGTCAGCCCCCACACGAACGTACTGAAGCCATAGCACGTCCAAACCAGGGCATCCAACAGCTTCTATTCTTGGGATTCCCGGTTGCTCCATATGTGCCACTAGGATGGAGATGGTTTCCGCAACCAGAATGCGGATGGTATTTTGGGACCGAATCCCATCATGGTCGTGTATATATGGACCCTCTGGGTTTTACAGCGGTAGCATAGACTAACCCTAAGCAACAGGGCTTTGGGTGTGCTATGCAATTAATGTGAGATCGAAAACTCGCATAAAGACCCCCGAGACCCCGAAGCGCAAGTGCTGCCTTGTCTGTCTAAATGCTGCAGACATGTGCTCCAATCAAGCAGCCCTTACAAAGCCCTGTAAATCCTGAAGCTTCTTTAAGTTACACTTAGATCCCCAATACCTAACCTTTAAGCTTTCTGGCCTCTTTTGGTTTAGTAGGAATCGGAAAGTTAATTGCTGTGGCTTATTTGGGGGCAGTAAGTATAAGCCCTACCCTACACCCTAAACCCTAAGCCATGAGAAACTCCAGCACCTTGACGAGACCTATTGGGGCCCTGTATTGGAACCCATAACTAGGATGCCCAGTAGTGCCCTTATTCCCTTTTAGTAGTCCTAGGTTCCTTATAAAGCTACCCAATACCCATAAGGGAGCCCTTTTTTTTCCTAGGGTACTGGGCATCCTAGGTGAAGGATCCGTTGCAGGTTCCATGGTACCAGGGCCTTGCCAACTTGCTCGCGCAGCTTCTCGGCCCAGATCCCTTTCTCTCCGTTTTGCTAAGCCTCAGGGTCTGGGGTTTATTGTTGCTTTAAGGGTTTAAGGTCTAGGGTGTTAGGAGTTTAGGGCTTAGGGGTTGAGGGTTTCGGGGTTTTGGGCTTGGGGTCTTGGGATAAAAGTCTAGAATTTAAAATTCACATAAGGGTCCAAAAAACTGGTTTTTGATTGGGTCTACGACAGGAACTCCCGGCAGGCATCCCGTACCTCGCTTGCTGCCGTGAGAGTGCAAAGGATCCAATACTTGCCTGTAGCCGACAAGACATACTTTTTTAGGGTTCCTTATTATGGTTTCTATATATAGTACCTTAAGAAGGTAGGTCTTTTCGGCTACAGGTGAGTGTAAACGAGAGTTAGAGGGCTGTAGCGTTGTTCATGAAGGTTTTGCAGGCATTTTTTGCAAGGGCTTGCAAAGGTCCACAGGACTCCAAAAGACCTGATAGTAGGGTTTAGGGTTTAGGGTTTAGGGTTTAGGACAACAGTGTTGTAGGATAGTATTCGTCGGAGTGTACGATTACAAGGTATTGGACCCTGAGGGTGGGGTTTTGAGGATAAACGCGGCGTGTGTCCGTGTATAAAATTGTGGTGTGCAGATCCTTTTGCTGGTGGTTTCTACCGGGTTCTTGCATTTGGGGTTGGAGTTTAGGGTTCTCGAGTGGATGAACGGATGGATGGGGTGTGCGGAATGGGGGTTGAAGGAAGGCAGGGCAGGAGAATCACAAAAGGGAGGGGTATGTAGGCACGGAAATCGACCCAGTAATCTTGAGTCCTGGCTGCCCACAAAGTCTGGGAAGGGGAGTTGCACAGGATGCGAAGCGATTAAATCTAGACGCCGAAGCCCGCACCAGGCTAGTCGGCTCCCTTGTGGGTGCCGGACTCCTTTGCGCGGTCTTCCCGTGCGGCAATGACATGACTGGGGGCGTTGGCAACCTGGCCGACGTGATGTAGAAGCCTGGACACTCATCAACAACATGTTCCTTACCCTGAGGCTCAAAATAGCCCAAAGGCCTGATATAGTATGGTCTTTGGGCCCAAAAGCCTTAAGACATGAGTCCTTAGAGCCTAAGGGTTAGGGTTCCTATTTACTACAGTTCCGTTGAGGGATCTATAGAAGAATTTCAGGGCTTATAGGGTTTATAGTAGAAGCCCAAAAGTTGGAAACCCAATAGCCTCAATCCTTAAGAGTAATATGGAAGGGATCCCAGCACTATTTGGCCGCATTTGGCCTTAATCCGGCTTCCAACTTTATCATTACTAACTATTCCGTCCCTATATGGGAGTTTCCGAAACTTAGGGGTACCTTATTCTGTGGTCCTTACAAAAAGGATCCTACTATATAGAGTACTATGTTAGGGTCCCCTATTTTTGGAAACCCCATAATAGAACCAAGGGCTTCTATTTTCAGAGCTCACTTTTGTTCAGGACCCCGAGACATTCCGCATTGCCCTCTGCAGTGCGACCCTCCACAGGGCAGGTTCAGTAGGGCTTAGGGGTTAAGGGTTTAGGGGTTTAGGGTTTCGGTTTCGGGGTTTCTAGCTATATCATCATTCCTGGAGGTGGCATTCGAGAGGCGAGTGGAGACGCTCACGAAGGATGCCCAGCTCCACATTCGCATAAGGGACAGGTTGCGGTTCCCAAAGACTCCAATAGCCCTTAATTAAGGAATATTCCTTAAATCATATAAGGGATCCTACCATAATTTAAGGAATATTCCTTAAATCATATAAGGGATCCTACCATAATTTAAGGAATATTCCTTAAATCATATAAGGGATCCTACCATAATTTAAGGAATATTCCTTAATTAAGGGATATTGGAGTCTCTGGGTTCCGTCTAAAGAAAGTGAGCGACGGTGAACCGGACCCTGGCCCCGATGTAGGAGTTTCCGAAAATCGGGGACCCTAGTATGGTACCTTAAATAGTAGTATCCTTATTGTAAGGCTTCCAAAATTAGGTACCCCTGTTTTCGGAAACTCCCATGTCGATCCCTAAACCCTAAACCCTAGGCCCTAAGCCCTAAGCCCTAAACCCTAAACCCTAAACCCTAAACCCTAAACCCTAAGCCCTAAGCCCTAAACCCTAAACCCTAAACCCTACCCGATGTTGATGTGCCACCGAAATGGTGCTGGCGCGACTTCAAGCCGGCGAAGCCTTAGCTGCCGAAGGCGTATGTGAAGGGGGCTTCGAGGTCCCAAAGGCTCCATGTACTTTTATAGTGGATACTTTGGCCTTAAAGGGGTCCCCATATAGGTACTTTAAGGCCTAAGTATATACTATATGGCTACATGGAGCCTTTGGGGGTGATGTCTCCAACTGCATCTCACGCCGGTGGCATTCCTGAGCTCTGGGCTGACTTAAACCGTAGTATACTACGGATATGCAGCTGAGGGAGGCTTGTCCGGAGTCCCAGGCGTGCCGCCACCATGAAGTCTAGGGTTTTGGGTTTAGGGGTTTTGGGTTTAGGGGTTTAGGGGTTTGGGGTTTAGGGTTTAGGGTGCATGCTACAAAAGCAAAGCTGCAGGGTTTGACAAAAGGTTCGTAGGAGACATAATTCTAAGTAGGACTACAGAAGATACCTTGTCAAACGGTGTGTGTTCTGGTGGTTTAGGGCCTCAGGTTAGCTTGGGCCAACCTAAAGACATGGGTTCTTGGGAAGGGGTACAGGTCTGAATACTGAGTCGTATCATCCCTAAACCCGAAACCGCAAGCCCTCAATTCCTGCGCAAAAAAACTAAAGAAGAAGCCCCCCCCCCATATAAGGGTCCAAAGGACCCCAGAATTAGGTATTCGGGTTTACGGTAGTAGTTATGTAGGTCACTACCGTTGACGATATAAATCTTACCTTTGCACATAGTAAGGAATATGAAATAAATACCATAGTTTGGGGTCATTAAGGTAATGCAGGATTGATATCATCAACCCTAAACCCTAAACCCCCATAGATCCCTTAAAGGAACCCCTGTACGGCACCCGTATAGATCCCTTTAAAGGAGGTCCAGGAGTTGCATCATCAACCGTAGTGTGGAGAGTATATCGTAGTTAGGTTCTCGGACTCCGGCGTCCTGGCTTTTGCTCACCCTCAGGGTCCATGTACCCAAACCCAAAGGCTCCATGTACCTTCATAGTAGATACTTAAGCCTTAAAGGGGTCCCTATATTAGGGTACTTTAAGGCCTAAGTATATACTATATGGCTACATGGAGCCTTAGGGAAATATTATAGACTTAGGGCCCGAAGTACCAATATAGGGACTACTTTAAGGCCAAAGTATGTACTATTTGGGTACGTGGACCCTTAGGCTCTCAGAGCCTTTTATCAGGCTTTCCCAGTTTTCGGGAGGGGCTCCAAAATACCCTGACGCAGGAATATTCATCAACTCAATGTAGGATCCCGATCATGGTTTAAGGTATACCTAATTAAGGAACATATCTTAGAGTCCCTAATATGATTGAAGGCATATTCCTTAGTTTGGGGATGTTGGGGAAGGTCTGGGGGCTTTCCTGCAGCCCCACACCCACCAACATAATATGGTCGTAGTAGGGTAGGTAGCAGGTTTGGGGTACAAGAATCCCTATAGAATGCCAAAGGATAAAATAGAATCTCCCTAGGATAATTTGCAAACCCTAAACCCTAAACCCTAAACCCTAAGTAGCCTGGTTCGGGAGACTAGTAGGTTATATGCTGTAAACACTAAACCAAACCAAGTAAGGCACCAATGTCATCAACGACCGCTTTGGTGTCGGAAGCGTATTGGTCGGGGAGATGCTTGGGACCTTTATCCTCTGCCCCTGGGCTTGAAGAGGGCTTGGGGCTCAGGGTTTAGAGCTTTGAGTTCCGTAGAGAGTTTCTGCCATCGAGGGATCTTCAGGGTCTCACTAAAGAGTCCGAAAAATGCTGTACAAGATTAATCTTGGGACTGCTATTCCATTAGGGTCCAGGTTTGCAAAAAACACTGCTTTTCCCGAAGGTACCTAAATATCATACAGGGGTTGCTTTCAAGAACTAAGTATATACTTTTGGGGTACTTGGATCCTCAAGGATGTGCTCGTTCGCCTCTGGATGTCTACGCTGGCATACTTCGCATGTACAGGTTGAATTACTGGCCCTACAATGGTTGGAGCCCTACTTACCCTACCCTAAACCCTAAACCCCGTCCTGCCGGGCTCGCAGATACGAACGCACACGCTTTAGGCAGGGGTTCAGGGGTTGAGGGTTCAGGGGATGTTTTGCATCAAGTTGGCTTTTCTTCTTCAAGCACCATACTCGACTTTTGTGGCAGGCTTTTATAATATATCCTAGCATGGAGTTGATAGGGCTAAACCCTAAACCCTTAACCCGACCGGACCGTACAGAAAGAGGAGGTTGGTATGAGAAAGTAGGTGTAACAGGAAATGGAGTCTTTCTTCATGGTTCCGGGCAATCTCTTAATCCCGCAGGCTCTATGTACCTCTATAGTCCATAGTGTTTGGATGATTTACATTAACTCAGAATTAACTCCTTAATAAATACTGAATCATTATATATGTGTGTGTATATGTATGTATGTGTATATATATATATATATGTACAGATGCTAAGGCCTTAAAGGGGTTCCCATATAGGTACTTCAAGGCCTAAGTATATACTGTATAGATACATGGAGCTGTAGGGTAAAGGGGTGCTTCTGGAACCCCAACGACGATGAACGCCACAGTGCTATGCTCAGAAGAACTGCGCGGGCACCTATGGAATCATTGAGTATGCTAGTCTGAGCATGGGTTCAGCAGGGCAACAATGATTTCATATTCCTGAAGCCTGAGCCCAAGCGCCAATCCCGGAGCCTAGAGAGCATACAGTCCTCCAAACGGTTTGTGTATAGCTTGTCGAGCTACATTCCCTAATTCTGTGGGGTTCCAAGTAACTGCAGATTCCAAAGTTCATGCCTCAATATTCCAAACCCTGAACCCTGATTTTGAACTCCTACTCTCCAAAAGACGAAATCCCTAAACCCTCAGCCCCTAAACCCCCAAACCCTACAACCTAAACCCAAACAAAAAACAGTACGCTCTGAAGAGGCTTCGTGGTTTGGGAAACGGCCGTCTCCCCTGCGGCCTCCTGCGGGAAGAACGTCACCAGCTTGGCGTATGGGAGTTGGTGCAGGGCTCCCTTAAAGGCTCCTTGAAGGATCCTGTATGTTTTTCTAATTTCAGGGGTTCTTTCAGGGTTCTATAGGGGGCCTTTAAGAGGATCTATAACCCATAGGCCATAGGCTCTAAGGACTCGTATTTCACTGCTTTTGGGCCCAAAGACCATACTATCTAAGTCAGTTGAGCTATATTCAGCCTGAGGGTTACGGGGCTCCTGGAAGGTTCCTATATTTATTCCTATATGGGTTCCGTAGGATTTTGCGGGGTCTTAATGGGCCTTAGGAACTAGGTCCGAGGATGTCGGGGCAGGATGTACCCTGTGAAGCCTACCTGTGTTTGGATCATAAGCAGGAGCCTGGAGCCTTGAAATGTAGGTAATGTATAGTAGTTATTGAGCCAAGGAAATGTAAGTAATGTATTATAAGGTTACAGATACACATTTGTTTGGAATATTGCTTTCAATCTGACGCCCGAAAGAGCACCGGCGAATCCCGAAACCTTAGAACCCAAAAAACCACATAGACTGAGCCCTAAACCTTAAACCCCTGGATCTTAAAGCATTAGCCTAAACCTTAGACCTATGAAGCCCCGGACCCTAAACCCTAAACCTATAAAGCCCCTAGCCCTAAGTGCTAATTGGCACTGGACTGCCCGCATTTCGGGGTTTGGGATTCAAAACCCTCCAAAATCGTCGGTGCAGGGGTTTACCCCAGATAACCTAGATTTTCTAAGGGCTTATATATATATATAATATATATATATATAATGAAATCGAAACCAGGAGCCCTAACCCGTTAGGATAGTTAGCATACGAAACCCCAACCCCTAACCCCCAACAGCCGAAACCCTGAACCGTAAATCCCTATAATTAGAGCCTAAAAACTTAACCCAGGCCCCGAAATATGCCTTCAGTATGCTCCGAGAGCTCCCAACTTACAGGAACTCTTGTAGAAAGGAATCCATGGTTCCTTTGGGTAAGGGCTCCTTTCGGCTTACCATTAAGGTTCCCATAAGGGTTTCCATGAGGGTGTGGGGTTTAGGGCCTGTCCAAATTCAATCGGTTCAAAGCACCTAAATAGTTAGAATGTAGGGTTTCGATAGTAGGAGTTGCTATCTGATTTGGGGAAGTATCCACCGCAATATTACCCAGGACCCTTTGAGCTATATCGTAGAAACTTAAGCCTTAAAGTCGTTAACAGGAAGCCCTTTCAGGCCTAAGCATAGAGAACGGAACCTAGCACGCTTTGAGGAACCCCTTCTAACTTTCTAGCTACTGTGATTTTTTTGGGATAACCTTCGATTCCTTCTTAAACCCTAAACTTTAAACCCTAAACCCTAAACTCCTAAACCCCCAAGGTTCAGGCCCGAGAGGTTGGGATTCAGGGTGCCTCTGGAGCCTCTCCAGAGATCCCAACACCCCTTAATGAAGGAATATACCTAAGGGTTCCTTATAGGGTTCCTTAAGGGGTCTATAAGGGATCTACAAGGGTATTAAGGAATATACCTTAAACTATAATTGGGGGCTTAACATTTTGTTTTAAGGTATATATTCCTTGATTAAGGGGTATTGGTTGGAAGCTGCCCCCACCCTGTAATAGTGACTATAAGGATTATATCGGATTATATTAGGGCCCTATTATATTCCTATTATACCACTATTACAGGGTGGGGGCAGCTTCTAAGGTATTGGGATCTCAAGGTTTTGGAGCCTCAAGTCCAAGGCCATGTCTTCCAATATCCCCTAACGATTACAGCCTCACTCATACTAGGGATCCTACAGTGAGTATCATAGTTGTAGTGTTGACTCTATCCTAAGTCGTATTTCTACGGGATCTTATAAGAATATACAGCACTATATACCTGATTTTAGGGGTAGATATTCGAAGATCTGGGAAGCCATTCGACCGCGGGATCTGCAGCTGCTTCGTAGAGCCTCTCTCTGGAACCGCTCCAATCATGGGGCGCCCAGGCAGCAAGGGCTTTACAGTAGAAGCCAGAAAGTTGGAATATCATTATCGTAACCCCTTTAAGGTAAACTTTAGGGGATCCTACCATTAATCCATATTCCAACTTTCTGGAGTTCCCTTTAGGGGTGTTCGGTTCAGGTTTCGGGGGTTTAGGGCAACCTGTTGGCCTGCATTGAACCTGGAGAAGGTCCTATTGATTCCGGGCCCTGAAGCTACACACAGAAGAGCGTTAAATCCGTAGCTCGGATTCCCACAACGAAACCTTGCAAGTGCCAAAGACCCTGTAGACCAAGACTCCTTACAAAGAGGTTGTTTAGTATCGATCCTGCCGTTCAATTCACACAACTGACTGAAAGCACCTAGAAGCAGACGACCACACCGGCTCTACATAGTAAAGCATCACACAGGCTCATGGAAACACAGCAGGACATGTGAATGAAGAGGCTCACACAATAGGGTATATATAAATACACACATACATTTGTGTGTATACAAACCATACTGCACATCCGCCCGCCCCCCCGCCCGCCTGCCTGCCTTTTTTACATTCCCACATAAATGCCTGGCCATATCTACTTGTATGTACGTATGTTTGTCTGTATGTATGCATGTAGACGGACGGACGGACGGAGGAATTCATGGATGGATGTGTGTACCCCCCCCCCCCGACCAAGCAAAGAAAGAGACTGCCCTCAAGGTCTGGTTGCAGCAGCGTCCCAGAGAAGCCACTCTGCGATGGCACGGAAGCTCCTTGAAGCTGTTTTTGAGTTTTGTTTAAGGGTTTAGGGTTCATGAGGTGCTAAGATGCTCACTGTTCTTGTTTTTTCGGGTTAGGTCTGGAAGCAACATGCAGGGTTTTGTCTCGCTCTCAATAACTCCTCGCACCCACGACAATACCCGCATCTTTCTGGCGTCTTTATCTAGAAGAAATACTCCTGAACTCATGACTCGCATCCTCTGGCAATTTATTAGTCACATTTCCTAATGCAAATTCGGCTTTGAAAGGAAGGGATGAATTCGGGAGGATAAGCCCCAAAGAGCTTTTTATCTTAGGGGGGTGTTTCATGCATGAGGGAAGTGATTCGGTTGATGATATAAATCCTCCAGTACCCATAGTAAGAAATACTCCATAATTCCCATTGTTTAGGGTCCTTAAGGTAATGCAGGACTTCTGACCTCAACCGGATGATGGGATATCGGACGGTCTGGGTAGGGTTTAGGGTTCAGGGTTTAGGCTTAGGGGTTTAAGTGCTTAGGGGTTTAGGGTTCAGGATTCAGGGGTTTAGGGGTTTAAGGGTTGAGGGTCTATAGGTTTAGGGTTTAGGGTTTATGGTTTAGCTATAACGACGAGGCGGCATCTAGATCAGCAGCATCCCGAATCCCGAATGCCCACAACCCATGCCGCAATAGAACCATACGCCGTGAATGAACCCTTTCAAAGAGGGTTTGGAGTTTGGGATTTACTTCAACCTACCCAAAAATTTACTTTAGTGGGTTCTGACTAGCGACCCTATGTTGGAATTCATAGAGACCTTACAAGATAGTAGGTTCTGGGAGGTTAAGGCCCGTCCTTAAACCCCAAGCCCTCGGAAGTCGAGACCCGAAACCCTTAGGAAGGAATGCCAAATTTGCATCCTGATCCCCCGAACTAAGGGTTGCTATAAGGGATCTATAAGGGTACTACAATATAGGGGGCTTAGTAATCCTATTACTTACCTGTGGTTAGTAGGGAATGGAGGAAAAGGGCACAATTATAACTACTATTCCTATTATTCTTCCATTCCCTATTAAACAAAGGTAGGCGCACCCAGGTCAGCAAGCAGATGCCACCGGAAGGACGCCGACCGAAGAACTTGAGGACGGCGGTGGCGGTTTGGCCGCACTTCAAGGTCTTCTCACACATAGCTGGACCTACGCCCAAAAGGTTTCGAGGATTGACAGTTGGTGTGTCGGGTGTGGGATTTGTAAGATGCAAGGTTCAGGTGTGGGTTGACGTAGGGTTTGGGAGCTGGGATTTTAGGGATGTGGTTCGTATCTTTCGCTCTTGATGGTGCCTGCAAGCTCAGGTAGTGGAATGGGAGCCTGATGAGATCGAATCTGTGCTGTTCAGCAGTAGCAAAAAGAGGTGATGATCAGGACAGACGACCCGACTCCGCTTTCTCAGCAGAGGCCTCAACTTGCAGCACACATTTTTGTGTCTGTTTTTCCACGTGGTGTTGGCTCTTGGTTACACCGCGGCCGTCCTTTGACTTTCCAGTCTTACTGGAGGAAAGCGACATACAATGTTGCCTCGTTTCATGAGAGGGTGCATTTCCAAAGGGTCCTATGTAGCGATATAGTAGAATGTAGGGTTTCCATATTAGGAACTACTTACTATAATGACTTAGGGAAGTATCTCCAATAACAGTACCTAGGACCCTTTGGGATTGTGTATAGCTGCATTAGCATCTCCATCTTCCAGCACCTTTAGATGCTACTGAAACAGCGCGTGCTCCGTCTCAGCACGAATCGAAACTACCCCAAACCTCGAGCCCTAGAAACCCCTCTCCCTGGGCTCCATGACTGAATGCACTTCCATAGTAAATCCTGGGCCTCAACTTGCTTCCTATAAGGCCTTTTGAAGCCTAAGTACATGCTGTATTGGTGCATGGAGCTTTAGGGCTTCAACGCTGCAGCCTCAGGAGTTGCTAGAAGTAGTTGCCACGATCTGCAAGCATGGCTTCATGTTCCATGGTCCCTAACCCTCAAGCTCTAAGGGTTCGTACTTTAAGCCTTGTGGGCCCAAAGACCATAATTACTACATAAGGCTTTTGGGCCATTTTTGAGCCTTAGGGTAAGACTCCGAGTATACCCTAAACCGTAAACCCCTAAACCCCTAAACCCTAAACCCCCAAAACCTAAACCCCTATCACCTAATCCCTAAAACCCTAAACAACTCGTACCTACCGTGAGGTCTAGCCTCCGTGTGTTCGGGCTATTCGGAGTCTTCGGGTCAGGCAGGGGGCGAGGTGTCG